AACGTTCTGAGGCTACTCGTTTTGAGTTATGCGAGATACATACGTACGTACATACGTTTGTACAGACGCCACGAAACATTCTCTTCAGATTAATTTTAAAGCAGTTTTATAATTTTTTTGGAGGAAACGAGTCTTTTATTCTGTCCTTACGTACAGATATCGCGCAAAAACATCATTAAATTGCATTCGATAGCGGTCGAAATGGATATTTTCGTTGAAATATGCTGCCTGAAACTTTTCGCGATTACAATACTTCGTACACCTTACAGCACCTAAAACACCGTTTTATGTTAACAGCAATTCTAAAGAAAAGATAGTAAATTTACTATCACTCTTTATGTGAAACAAATATAACATATCACAGTCGCTCTTTCACTTCTCTCAGCACCACAATTTCTTTTACATACTATGATTAAATGTTTGCTTAATTTCTCTTATAACTGCGTAAATTTGAGCCAGTTTCTCTTTAAAGATTCTCCAAGAAGGTGTTTCTCCGTTTAGATGAAAAGACCTCACATGCTTTGTCGTTAATCGGCCAAATGAATAATAGATTCCTGTAGAGTTTGCTTTACTGCAATAGCATCTAATAGGCAGGGTAGAAAAATGCTCAAATTTATCACTACTTATTCATTAAATGTCTGATTGAAGTTTGTAATGCAAATAAAATTTATGGATTGTTACATTAATTTATATATATAAAGAAGAATGTCTGTGTGTTTTTTCTCGCGGTTATCTCAGTCACTACTACAGCTATCGTCAGCAAACTTTCTACAATTCTCTTCTGGGTCCTAGGAAAGGTCGACGTCCACTTTAAAAAAAAAAAAAAAAAAAAGAAGAAAAAAAAAAGAAAGAAAGAAAGAAAGAAAACCTCAAATCAGAGATATAAATTAAAAACTCTGAAAGCGCTCATTTTCGCTGTAATTTTTCGAATGGCAACAGTCTCGCTCGCTGGACATAAAAATCTGCTTTATTTCGAGAATTGTTGCCACTGCTCGCTTTCAAATCCTTAATAAAATGTTTGTTAATAAAAAATTTCTAAGTTTTACAACGAAAAAAAAAAATATTTTTATTGCCAAACATTAAACTGAAAGGTTTCAGATTTTAAATTACGTCCAAAGGGGCGTTTTTTTAACATTTTGTGTGTTACCTTTATTTATTAAATATCATGTTCTTCGCATCTCTTTTCAAAAGGGAAAAAGCCCACCAGCGGCCGAGCGGTAAAATCGCTGAACACTGGTAGTGCGGTCCGAGGTTCGAATCCCGCGAACGGGCTGGCTGCATGGGCGTTTTCGTGGTTTTCCCCGTGTGTAACGTGTATACGAGCCAGTTTCCCTTAAAAAGTCCTCCACGAAGGCATATCTCCCCTTAGGCAGATAGCCCTAGTGTGCTTTGCCTTATTCTCAATACACCACCATACCACCAAAAGGGACAAAAATGATTCGGGAATAATTTTCTACTATTTATAATATCTGTTCTTACTTAAAATAATAATAAAAAATAAATAAATCTGAAAGCTTTCAGATTTCATATTACGCCCAAAAGGGCGTTTTTTCAACGTTTCATGCGTTACCTTTATATATCATAATCTTTGCACAAAATATTTAAAAACAGCATACCTTCAGAATTTCCGATGCGCAGTCTCATGCGCTGGAGATAAAAATGTTTTTGTGTACAACGTTGCCATTGCTCGCTTTGAAATCCTCGAGTTTATTAATCAAAAATTCGTGAAAGTTTTACAAAATCTTAAATCGATAATAAAACAAATTTCAAATTTGGGCTTCCAGATGCCCATATTCGCAGTAGGATTATGTCATTCAAAACTGGATAGCTCTAGGTACCATTGTTTTTTCACAATGCGAGAAACATACACACATTTATGTTGATTCATCATTATTCAATTTCTTCAAATATAGTACAGGTCGATAATATTTGGTGGCAACAGTTTGAAAAGTGAAACGCACATTCACAGTGATAAATTCAATAATACCATAGATTACTTTTAACCATGTTAACAATAAAGACAGTTTCAATCATAATGAAATAGAAATGTTGCTTTAAACAAAGATACGGAGATTAATCTACGTAGAAATTATTTTAATTCTGTCTCTTTTATAAACTGCAGTAGTTAATTATTTGTGTTCCTCCATGAAATTATATGTGTGTGTGCTTATTTTTGAGATACTAAAGTGGGAAAAAGGCTTAGTATAAAGAACAGAAGTTTCGCTTTGAAGTATGGGATTTTCCCTTAATACATTTTTCACGATAATATCAGATAGAAAAAGATTGGATGAGCATTTTCCGAAAAGAAGAACTGATTTATTGTTTCAGGAAAATAAAGTCCGTGGTTATCTGGATATTGAAGATACTTTGTTAAAGACTTTTGAAAGGCACTATAATTTTTACAGAAGAATTTTGACAAATGGCTTAGTTTGGGGGGGGGGAAGGAACCTACATAATTTTGAAAACCTTCCTAAATATTCAGATGGTTTATCGATATTGATTCTGTGGAACGATTTCATTTAGTATTTAATATTACTTGGCCATTTTGGAATCAAATAAGTGCCTGAAAATGTTTGTGAAAAACTAAAGTAAATTTATGTTGTGTATATTATTTAAGGTGCGCTGATGAGTTTAATCTCGAATAAGTAGAATTTTTTCATGCATCCTTAGTAAAACAAAGATGCTTGAAATAAAATGTTGCTTTGGTGGAAAATTCTAAGGCGCCGGATTAAACTTCATTGGCTTAATGTTAAATTTTTGCAAAATGTATCCATATGTTATATGGATATATATATGTAATAATAAAATTCCATAGTCAAAAATACACTTAAATTTCTAACTGTATGTTCTTTTAATATTTAATGGCGACGGTCTCTTATTTGAAAGTACGTGGAATTAAATCCACAGCCCCGCAGTCAAGTTGTTTTTCCCGCCTTTTCTACACGTACAGTTATAGAATGTTCTGGAGATATTTAAAGCGAACTGGAATGGCTGACGAGGGTGACGTCATTTCTTGGAACCTCCGCCTTTCCAGAGGCTATAAAAGGACTCGCAAAGGAATATCGGGGTATTTTCTTTAATGTAATGATGCAGTAAACTTCATACAAAACGTTATTAGTAATTATTTTTTATTTACTCCTGAGATATGATTTTTTGTAACTGCTATTTCTCCTGACCAATAATAAATGGATCCTTGTTTTTTAAACTTATCGTCTGATAATTTAAGCTACGACTACATCTATGATTCTTCAGCAATCTATTTATTCCGGACAAAAGCTGGTACATCACATATATATAAAGAAGAATGTCTGTTTGTGTGTTTGTTTGCGATACACTCAGTCACTACTGGGGCTATCGTCACGAAACTTTCTACAATTCTTTTCTTGGTCCTGGAAAAGGTCGACATCCATTTCCCCCTCCCCTCAAAAAAAAAAAAATACCTGAAATTAGTGATAGTAATTAAAAACGCTTAACCCGGCAGAAGTCGCACCAAGAAAAGTTACTAGAGTGGGCGCGTGGGGTATCACATACCCCAATATTTAAAATACGATAAAAATAGTTTTATTTAGTTTTAAGCGGTTTTCCTTGTTCTCGTGTATTATAAATACGTGAATAATAATTGGGTTTCAAAAAATTAATTTCTTATTTCCAAAATAATCTTAGAGTTAAAATTAAGATAAATGAAAATAATTTAAAAATATACATCATGCCTCTAAGTTTCATTGCATCTCTAATAAACGATGTTTATTTTATTTCTTCACACTTTGAACGAAATACATTCGTGTGTTCTTGGCACAGAATGTTTTCACATTTTAAACATTGCATTCACGTTCTTCTGTCCTTGGCGCGAGGGCAAAAAATTTATCCCATCTTTCATACTTAGTTGTTTCGAATTTCGTGTATTCGTTTTAATTCTTTGTCGAAACTTCTGCTTTTGTTTTGCATGCAGTACGTCAGTTTCTTGGTAAAGTGTTAATCTCTGATCCTTGTTCAGTACTTGTTTTCATTAATTGTAATGCTAAGTTCTTCAAAACCAGACTTCTGTGTCTGGTTGGTGAATTAGCAGTTGAATGTAATATAATTCAAGCATTTATTACAGCAACATTCAGTGCAGGAAAAAAAATATCATTGGCCACCTCCTTGTTATTCTGGCAATTGAATAATTGGCTGACATTTCATCCCCCATATCCAATGCTCCTTTAGTCATATTATAAAATAATATAATCCCTGTCGTTTTATTTCCTCTAATAGTATCATCTATAGTATGATCGTTATATAATGTTCAAAGCATAAAAACAGTTTTTCCTTTTTTAGGAACATTAGAAATTAATGTTTTATCTTTTTCGAAACGAAACCAGTGTAGAAAATATTCCTAGTTTCATCTTCAGTTTCCGAAATGCAGTCTTCATCGCTTTCAAATATTTCTAATAAATCTCACAGGCGTTGCATCTGCAATTCATAGGGAGTCATTCTTTTTACGATAATGTGGTTAGAAATTTCAAGAATTTAATGTCAAGTACTTTAAAATCACTTGCGAGTAGAAATATTTACTGTTATACTCCAGAAATAAATTTCTGAACTAAATATTCGGTCAGAAAAACACTTACGCGGACAGGCGCGTGGGGTGTGTCATACCCCAGTTCCAACAAAATACCGATAAATCTGTTTCTGAAACACACACAGGCAAAGAAAAAGCTGTTCTGAAAGTCAACCACAACTAAAAACTCAGCTACTGAATGAAGCACAGAATTTCAGTTTCACAGGTTAGGAATATTCCACTTTTATGTACGGGTGGGGTATGACAAACCCCATGCGCCTTCCCGCGGGTTGAAACGCTAATTTTCCACCTCTTGGTTTCTGAGTGGCGAACCTTTGGCAAGAATCACTAAATTGTTAAAAGTTTTCTTAAAAATTACAGATTGAAATAATTTGAAACTCACACATACAAAAAGAACGAATTTATTTGATATCCAGCGTTTATCAGTGTTTCTCTTTTTCAGGATTTTTTCGGATAACGCAATCACTGAGCTCTCGGAGTCCGCCTTCCGCCACAATCCGAAACTGACCCTTCTGGAAATGGGCGGAAATCCGATCATGAAGGTCGGAAGTGCTACTTTTGCAAATCTGCCAAGTCTCAAGAAATTGTAAGTAGTCAGTAATTACGAATTATTGTTTATATTAATCAAATGGTATTCCTAAGAAACCATTTTTACCACTTATTAACATAATAAATAACTGTCTTAGTAATTTTCCTTTAAATGCGAAACTCTTCATCTATCTCTAGGGTGTCCGTAAAAGAATGTCCGAGTTTTAATGGTAGGTTATCAGGTTCAATGTTTCGCCTTACTTTCTTTAGGAACATGCAAGGACCTGACTCGGAACAGGGAGCTTACTAAAGCTATGTTCAATAAATGTGGGAAGTAGACAACATACACGGGAAGGGTATACGAAACCCTTTATTTTTTCACTCTTTACAATAATTTCCGTACTTCGGAATACAGAGACCAACTACTTGTGGTCTGAACGTAAGAATATAAAAAATATTAACTAAATTCTAACTTAACTTTGGAATAATAAACAAGGAAGATTGGCCGTATATTAACAGGAAGCCGTATGTAGTACAGAGAACTGTTAACACTACAATACGTTTAAAATTATCAAGACGATTAAACCTCTGGCCTGGAAGGCAACCAGCAACGGAGTAAAACGTCTAAGGCAAGCGGCCTGTTTCGACTAACTCCTTCCTCTCTCTCGCTTGGCAAAAAGCCACAACTTAAGTACTTGGCGTTCGCCAGACAAATTTTGCATAAATAAGTTAACGCTTTTAATTCTGGCCGGAAGTAGAAAATAAGAAGTGATAGTAAAGATTTAAAATAAAATAAACGTTAGTAAAACTTAAGATCCTTACAAGGTATATTACAGGAGTTTATTTTATGCTAAATATAACAAATCATACATGAAATTGAAGGAAAACTAACCTAGTTTTTTCTATAAGTGCTCAGTGTGTGCGCCTTTAGTGATACGGCACACATCCAAACGAAAATGCAATTCTTCCCATACTGTCTGCAGCAAGTCCGGAGTAATGGAAGCAACAGCCTGTGCAATTCTACCTTTCAAGGTCGGTAAATCGTGGGGTAGGGGTGGAACGCAGACCCGATCTTTTACGAAGCCCCAAAGGAAGAAATCACAAGGCGTGATAGGCGGCCAGGGTAACAGAACTCTTGTCATCTGGATCCTGACGCCCAATCCAATGGATCAAGGATCAAGGAAATGCAAGTTACGGAGTTCATAGGCAATTACGCCTTTACCTCCACATCTTCAAAGGAAATTACATCATCAAAAAGAGGGGATTGTCAAATAGGGTAAAAATTTTGAAAATTGAATGACTTGGAATAAGTGCCTTCACACTGAGTCAAAAAAAAGGCAAAAAACTCAGAAGGTCTTAATTTTGCGCCGAAAAAGAGCCAGAATAATTTAGATAGGGGCAGCCATAAAATTTAGACTAGAAAAATAAAAGGTGAAGTTTCCTTGAACCTTGATAATCATGTTTTGCATACGTCAGAGGTGAAGAACTCGCAGGGGAATTTTCCGATGCGCGCTCTTCAGGGGTGGGAGGGGAGGGGGTGAACCTGTTTACAGGTCGAAAAAGTAGTTCTGCCAGTGATCAGCTGGGAGCATGGATGTAGGAAAGGAAGGAGGGGCCAGTCCGCACTAGAAGTGAAGCACTACTTTGAAGCTTGGGTCACCAGATGGGGTGTTCTTTGTTTACATTCAGAAGCTCGCTTGACACGGTTCTGATAGTATTTCGACACACGACAGTTCCATACAAATCGAAAAAGGGACACTTTCGCATGAAAGAGGCATTCATAGTGTGATGGATAATAGCAATTTGTATAGTTTAGTGACATTTACGCAAAAATCACATCTTGGTTATTTTTCGATAACTAACAACAGCGCGATTTTCATTATGAATTTGTTTTATAAAATTCTAAGCTGTTGAACTACAAAAATATAGATTTTAAGAAAAATGTTATGCTTAAAAGAATGAAAAATACCTTACGGTACATTTAAAATTGTATACGTCTTTCGATACCCTTGATAGAGTATTCGCTACGTTTATTTTATTTTCCAAACGCCAAAATGTTTTAAATAAAACAAATTTTTTTCACATCGATATATTATTGTTGCATATTATTGCAAAAAGCATGTATCTGCTTTTGACAGAATACATAAATATTCATTAAATTATTTATAAATGTATTTGAAATGAAGAATTTATTCACTTATAAACAACTGTGAAAGTACTGTGAAGAAATTTAATTATTAAATGTATCTAATTTATAATGATTATAAATGTTATCTAAATATATAATAACCTTAATATTGAATTGTAAACATAAATTGAAATCCTGTTGACAAATACGTTATAAAACTATTTAAGCAAGAATTGTTCGTATTGGAAAGCAATCTGTTAAAAAGTATTGTAAAGCAAATGCTATGAGATGCGCACTTAAGAAAGTAATAAAGAGTTTTGGAATATGTATTGTTGAAATGAAGGGTAAAAAAAATCTGATAATTAAAAGAATTATTCCCCTTACATTTTATAATAACTCGGTTACAAGTTTTAAATAATACTTTAAAAAAAAAAAAAAATCTGAAATTTTTCAGATTTTAAATTACGTCCAAAGGGGCGTTTTTTTAACGTTTTGAGTGTTACCTTTATTTATTAAATATCATGTTCTTTGCACTTAAACCATAAAATTCAGTTCAAGAGCAATATCGCAAAATAATGTTAAATTAAGCATATCTTTAGAATTTCCGATATACACAGTCTCGCGAGCTGGAGATAAAAGTATTTTTTTCTATATAACGTTGCCATTTCTCGCTTTTAAAGCATTGAGTTTGTAAATCAAAAATTCGTTAAAGTTTTACAAAATATAAAATCTATAATAAAACAAATTCCAAATTTGGGATTTCAGATGCCCATATTCGCAGTAGGATTTCGTCATTCAAAATTCGATGGCTCTATGTACCATTGTTTTATCACAATGCGAGAAATAGACAATCATTTATGCAGATTTTTCATTATTTAATTTCTTCAAATATAATGCAGGACTCTAACATTTTGTGGCAACAGTTTGAAAAGTGAACCGACGTTTATGAGTCCGACGCAAAATGCCAAAACGAAAGCAATAGTCCTTCGGGACTGAAATCCCTTTGGACTAAAAAAAAAAAAAAAAAAAAAAAAAAAAAACCTTATTTTATTTCCTTTCAGAAATGTTCAGAGAAAGTCAAGTACTATTTAAAGTATTTCGCTAATTCCTAATAATTCTCTAATTTAAAATGAACCGAATAGAGCATTAATTATAAATTGACTTACATTTTTCGATTTAAAAGATGCCTCAGAAGCCAAAAAATCATGTCATATTTAAGAAAGTATTTTAGGAAGAAGCTCTATAAATAGAAAAGAAATAATGCATAATTTTAATATTAATAATACAATAAACTTTGATCTTAATTTTTTTTTTTGTACCTTAACCGAATAAAATCGAATTACCTTAATTTTTTTTTTTTTTTCTAATGTAATTAACGAAAACTTGTGAAAATATTTTCATTCAAATTAAACCATTCTGAGAAAACTGTCCTGTGAAAAGTATAGCATCTAATTCCGTTCAGAATGAAATGTTGTTTAAAAATATGTTGTTTTCATATACTTAGGACTCTGAAGTGTTGTAGAAAAAGAAAATATATACATTTATATGTATATTTACGACGTAATTACAAAATATTTACATCCGAACGCATCAAATCCCATAGAACTCAATGCTAAATGACCCAATGTTTTGGTCACCACGTAGGGATCGCCGGTGCTTCAGAGCAGGGTACGTGAGAAACTTGTTTAGGGCAACTCCATCTTACTTCCTACCTCCATGGCTGGGAGAGAGAAGTTTCGTTTTTGACCGCTATTCTATGCGGTATTTAAAAGCCAAGAAAGGACGCTGTTAAGCGCCTGTGAAAGTTCCTTTTTAAAGTAAAGAGCAGTATTTAAAAATCTTTTTCAGTTTAAAGGTCAGATTTGCAAAAGTTAGAAAATATTTTAAATCAGTCCTATTTGACTGTGATGCTTCTTATTAAAGAAACGTTAAAGGGGGTTCCTCGAGTTAATGCTGTGTGCATTAAAGAACTTTAGAGGCGGGGGGGGTTAAGGAACGAGAGGTTGTTATTCACGTGGCTGTCAGTGTGCTCATATCTAGAGGAGGAGGATTTTGGCTGCCCTGCTCCGGGAACTTAAGCCCACTACAGGTCCACTCCCCCTTTGGGCACGTCGCGGAGGTTCAACTTCCACTATTACCCTCCAGGAGAGCAGCGCACCACCTGGGGACAGGCCCCAGGCAGCACCGGTCGTCTAATGCTCCTACCAGTCGCTTGGGCGAGCCCGTCGCAGCGGGACATTACCCAGCGACCCCGGGGGTGACCCACGGATTACTAGAACCACGCCGCGCTAGGACGTGCCAGACTCCGGGGCCGGCCAATAAGTGACCTTTCCCAGAGCCTTCAGAACCACCAAGTTCATAAATTTTATATCCCCGTGGCCGAGACTGCCTAGGTACAGATCCTAGCCAGTAGCTTCGCAGAGTTCTCTACGTCGACCCCCGGGGTGTGTGTGCTCATATCTAGCCCGTTTAAATGGGAGAGCTGGATATTCCTGGTTAAGAACCGCTCTGGGTCTTTTCCGGGAAGAAGCAACAGCAGGATCGTATACGGGTAGCATATGAAGCACAGGATTTGCAACACGTTGAATATTTTCCAATCCAATGGTCAGGGACTTCGACGTTTAACCAATCTCGCACAAAGATACTCCAATGAGGAGGGGCTCCATCATGTTGCCAAATAAAGTTTGCAAGTTCACTTTCTACTAATTGGAGAAAGAGCCATTGTTGTAGCATATCCAGGTAAGAAACCCTTGTTACTGTAGCTTCAGCGAAAAAAAAATGGGCCGTACATCTTGTCGTCGTGAAACACCACAGAAAACGGATTATTTTTGGAGAACCTCTTTCGTGTTGTACAAGTTGATGAGGATTTTCTGAACCCCATATACGAACATTATGGCTTCCTTCCCACTTGTATGAAATGTCGACTCATC